AATCGTAAAGACATTTGTTGATTTTGCACTTTGAATTTTGTGTTTCAGCATCCTGGATATCGCTGTATTACTGCTGCATTATAACTGTAAAGCAAGTACAAGTAAGCAGGAATCGCCGTTATCGTTATTGCATCGCAAAAGCATGTCGCTGACAACGAAGAAACGTTTTGTGATGAAGCAGGCCAAAAGTGAATTATTTTTGCCGAAGGAGAATGAGAAGATAGCCTGTGTTCTTGGGAGTCCCGGACGGAATCTACATGAGGTTGGCCGTCTCTTTCCTTGCACTAAATTTGTTCACTTTGATTGGCATCATTCGGGGCGACTCACTGAGCATTTTATTGAATCTCGACAGAAGTTGCTTGCTAGCAAAGGATGAAAACACGAAGGGCATCTCTCTGAGGGGAGCAACCCTCCTAACAGTGCAGCTGTTAAAGACACTTGGCGTGTCCCGAAGCTTTTCCTGCACGGGGGAAGATCGTGACTTCGGCCTCGATAAACCAGACAGAATTGCTTTATTACTTGTTTCTCCATTCTTTTTGTTACATGTTGATTATGCATCGGTACGGCTTTGTGCATTTTACATCCTTGTAATCCCCGTAACATTGTGCAGGCGTTTGATTCTTTTTCACTGTTGTTTCTGTGGCAAGATGTGCTGAGAAGAAAACGAGAACAGAAAGGGGATGTGAATGGCAGTTTTTCGCCGTGCTTTCAGTAATAACTTGAAAAACGAATGAATCTTGAAATCGAATGAATCTTGGTAATGAACGAATGAATCTTGGTAATGGTTTGTGCAATACATTTTTCTTTCAGGTAGAAGATGAACTGGGTGAGAAATATTTGGCAAGCATGCCGAGGAAATTCAGAGAAACAATCTACATTAAACGTGGCAATTTTTTGTTTGTGACACCAATTGAGGAGGGTGTAAAAGTTAAAGCAGAAATTACGCAAATTCTGGATGACGAGAATATACTTTACCTCAGAGAAAGAAGAGCGTGGCCGGAAAGGTGCGTTATTTTGAGTGTTGCCATTCAAAGTTTTGCTTTAACAGCATTGAATACTGGTGTCTTAGATCGACAGTTGTGTGTTCAGAACTCCATATCACGGCTGTTTTGTAAATAGTCGTCTTAGAAAACTTTGAACATCGTGTGCTGCCAGCGATGCGTTCGGGCACAAAATAGGCTGCTTCGTTGTAGATGCAGGAAGCTCCGTTATCAGCGCCTCTGTTACGTCAGAATCAGATCTTTACGTCCACACCCGGTCATCGGCGCGTAAGAGCAAAAGCAGCTGGGGCGGGCGCAAACTGTTAAACATAGCCAAGGCGATTTGCAGCCGATCTTTTCCCTCAGACTGTTGGAAACAATTTGAACTGGGGCATTACTAGGAATGATGGTTACGCTTGGTATAGTCTCTTTTATGCGTTTTTGCAGCCTTTTGCAAATGCGAAAGCGCATATTGACGAAGTATGTGTGTGTGTGTATGTGTGTGTGTGTATGTGTGTTTGTGTATATTTGCATTTTTGTCACCCACAACTCAACAGCCGGAGAAGTCGGGTAGCTGAAATTTTCGGGATGTGTTTCTACCTTCCCTGTGCGAAAATATGTTCCATTTTTGAAATCATCGTTCACGTACTTTTGGGTGTATACTTCAGCAGTTGCAAACCTGCTGTCCAATTAAGTGTCAATAAAGGGTTCAGAATATTTTAACCCAGGAAGCGTTTACTTTCCCTCAGAGGAAATGAGCAGCTAAAGTCTTCCGGTTTGAAATCCGAATTTCTATACGATGGATTGGAAAGGATGAAAGAAAAATGCAAAAGGTTTCGCCTGGGACTATGGCAAACAGGAGGATAGAAAATGAGCATCAAAAAAAAAAGGTACGGTAAGAGGCAAATTCGCGTCTAGTATTTCCACACAATGTAAAATTTGCATCAGGCAGTGTAAACCCGAAGAATGGATACCTCGAACGCATTTGCTTCTACTACTTACATAAGTTTGGTATTACACATATACATTGTTTTCTTATGTATAATTTGGGCTCGGCTCATTTTAGTTTTGGACGAAAATCTGAAGAAGTAGAGACTGGGAAAAAAAGCAGGTTCCCGTCGCTACCAGATTCTTGGTGCAGTATTTTCTCTGGACTGCAGCTTTTTTTCAGCTTAGTATAACTATGATAATCTGGCGGGGTGTCCACTTGTTCTCTGAAGCAGCGTTCGTCCAAAGAAGAGCAGGTAAGAAGTGAGAAATAATGTGTGGGCAGGGCAGACTGTCGGAAGGTTAAGCGAACACTGCGCAGCCGTTAGCGAGATTTTACTGTCCATTTCCTCCCTGTGTGGGATTTTCTGGATATGACAACAAAGGAGGACGGATACATTGTCAGGTTATTAGTGAAGAGAAGCTCGGTG